TACCGGACTTCCACTGATAAAGGCCGTAAGTGAATTGGGATATGGTTGTACGGGCACCATTAGACATAATCGAATTGGGAAATGCGCGTTGAATAAAAACGCAATGAGAAAATCAGTTAGAGGATCCGCTGATTCATACACAAGTTCTGATGAAAATATAATAATTATCCAGTGGAAGGATAATGCCATCGTTCACGTGGCTTCAAATTATTATGGTGTTGAACCTACAAAATCGGTACGTCGTTATTCTGCAGCAAAAAAAAATATAATCGTAGACGTTCCCTACGCAATTCAGCAGTATAATACTCATATGGGAGGTACTGATTTAACGGATAGAAATATCGCTAACTATAGACCAAAACTACGTAACAATAAATGAATTGATGTACATCCTATTAATTGATTCAAATGTTTTCATGAAAAAAATTAATAGACCCTCTCAAAATGTTATCATTTTTTTATCAATAAATGTTTAAGTTTAAACTGACGTTGTTGATTTTTTATTACCTACCTATTTATGGCCATGTTCCAAAATTGGAACAAAAAATTTTTTAGCCACAGGGCTATTGTGAAAAGATTAAGAATTTTTTAAATATTTTTCTATAAGTTCAGAACATAAAATTGACCTGTAGAAGCTATAAAATTTAAAAAAAGAAGTTTGGCAATACCATCAATATCTATTTTACATCTGGTTGGTTGTTTGCTGACTACGATTGGTTTAGTTTTCTAAGATGAGATTGTCATATTAAATTTTTTGCCCTTATGTTTAATCTGTGGACCAGTCTTTGAAGACTATCTTCGTCTTGGACTATCAATATTGCGTCGTCAGCCAATTCTTTGTTTCTCATTGTGTATCCTCATCATTTGTTAACGCTTTTGATAATTTTATACATAATTAAATTAAAGAACATGGAGCTGAATGAATCACCTTGTCTTATTCCGCTGCCCATTTCTCTAGAGTTTGTAAGTTGTCTATGTATTCTGACTTTCATTTTGTTGTTTTGGTAGATGTTTTTGATTGTTTTTATGACATTTAGGGGAACTTGGGGACATTATATCTTTGAGTCTTACTCTGTTAAACGCTTTCTTTAGGTCAATCAGATACAGCTGATGTATTATACTCATAGTGATTTCTCAGTAATTTGCCTTATAACGAATATTGCATATATGCACGATCTTCACAACAGAAACCCTCTTTTTCATCTGTTAAACTTATCCTCTGATTTAGTAGCACTTGTAAAATTTTAATTTTAAGTTTTAGGGTAATATTTAACAACTTTATACCTCTGTAGTTTCTGACTGTTTTTTATCCTTTTTTTAAAAGAGTGAAATGAGTTCGCCCATCGTCCATTCTTCCAGTATTTTATTGTGTTAAAAATGTTGTTAATTGTTTTGTCATTGCTGCTTCACAATATTTCAGTAATTCGTTTTTTATTCGTCTTTACCTGCTGCTTTTCTGTTCTTCAGAGTTTCCAGTATTTTCCGAACTTCCTGTACATTTATATTACGTTTTTCTGTTGTGGTAATTTTTGGTTTTTTCGGTTCAAGCGTCGTTTGTTCTTCCTCTGCATAGAGCTTTTTAGGTAGCCTATCTACGTATTCTTTTTTGTGTGTTTTGGTTTTATTAGTCTCTTTACCTCTGTTTTTTGACCTCTTATATTTCCTTCTGCAGACCATAAAAAGAATTTGTTTTGAAAAGTGATCCTTTTTTATTTTTCTTACAAGTTTTTACTACTCGAAAACATAAATTTATTAATATAATATAGCCATATTAATTGCATATCATGCCCGTATCACTTAAGGTTCTTCAATCTACACAATTAATAGTATAGAGATTCTTTAATTAATTCTAGAGCAGCTCAATTATCTATAAAACTAATATAACGAACAAAGCAACCAAGTTTTCCTCGAGCTCATTTCCCTATTACACGACACCATCCCATCTTGCCAACGAGAGGGAAACGTGGATCTGGGGCGCTACCAGCAGCACCGATGTGGCGACATGTTCTCAAACAGAACGCACCAGCCGGCAAAGAACAAGCAACAGCTTGAGCCCTACGGCAACTACGACAAGGTTAAAAAGGCCCTTACTACATTTTCTTACTTCATAGTAATAATGTTATTGTTTGAACTCCTTGTCTCAGAGAAGGCGGCTTCCTGTCGAATGCAGGGTGGGATTTAGCCAGATACGTTCACAGTTAACGTATATCACACATAATAATTTATTTTTCTACATTGTCTATACACTTACGAGAACTTGTAACACTAAATTAATGGTAGATAAACTTACTGACCAAAACCATTTAGATAAGTCAAAATCTGTCCTTTTTTGTATAAAAGCTTTAATATCCAGGGTGTTTTACGACAAGCTTACACTATCTACATATACCTATTTTGAAAACTTCTTCTTCTTCTTCTTCTTCTTCGTCTAGTTATTCACGTCCACATCTGAACATAAGCCTCTTCAAGTCTTTCTTTCCATTGTTTTTTATTGTACGCTACTTGTAGTCAATTTTTCGTGGCAGACCTTTTCAGATCATCTGTCCATCTCATAGGAGGTCTGCCTCTGGGTCTTTTGTGTTGGTATGGTCTGCAGGTTAAAATTAATCTGTCCCATTTGTTTAGATTACTCCTAGCTACATGTCCAGCGTATTCCCATTTAAACTTTAATGATTTTTGCACCACATCGGTGACTTTGGTTTTCTGTCTTATCCACGTGTTTGTTTTCTTGTCCTTAAGCGATATACCTAGCATTGCTCTTTCCATCGTGTGTTGAGTGACTCTAAGTATATTCATATTCTTTTTTGTGATTGTCCATGTTTGTGCCGCATAAGTTAATATCGGAATAATGCATGCATTAAAAACTTTAGATCTAAGATGTAATTGAATTTGTTGATTTCTGAGTATATAGTTCAGTTTACCGAATGCTGCCCAAGCTAACTTTCTTCTTTTTATTTCTTCAGTTTGAATTTTCCTATTTAGTATTATTTTTTGTCCTAAGTATATATATTCTTCAACTTTATCATTTTTCTATAACTTTATTCTTTATTATTGTCACGGTGTCTTCGGAGCGTATGACTTTTGTTTTGTTTAAATTCATTTTCAGTCCTATTTTAGAAAAATCGGTATGTAGTTCTAAAAACATGGTTTGCATTTCTTGTAGGTCAGTAGCTATCAGGATTATGTCATCTGCAAATCGTAGATTACTGAGGTAGCGACCATTGATGTTCATTCCCTTATATTTCCAATTTAGGTTTTTAAAACGTCCTCCAAAACTAAGGTGAACAGTTTGGGTAATAAAGTATCTCCCTGTTTGACTCCTCTGTTTAATGGTACAGGGTTCGTGTGTTCATTTTCATTTAGGTAGTATGTAGCTGTAGCTTGGTTCATAGTTTCTTTTATTAAGTTAATATATCTGCTGTCTATTCTACAATTTTGCATTGCGTTTATTACAGCCGTGTGTTCTATGGTATCGAAAGCTTTTTCGTAGTCTACAAATGCTAGGAAACTGGAAACTTGTATTCGTTACATTTTTCTATTAATATTTTTGTAGTTAACAGGTGATCGGAAGTTGAATTTTGAAAACTATTTACACGATATTTATAAAAATTTGGTTTATGGGGATTACAAGTTATGAAAAACTTAAAAAATATATATATTGACAATCATACCTTTTCCGGTGATACCGGAAGTGAATACTAACTTTGTTATTTAAATGTGAAACACGTAAAAGTTAATATTCCATTTTTGATTCTTGAAATATTTGAAACAAGATCATTAATTCAAAAAATATGAATGAGTTTTGACCTATGGTACTTTTTAGAAATGTTGCCTAGAATTTTATGCAAAATCCAAAAATGCAAAAATATACAGGATGTTCCATTTAAAATAACTAAGTTATTGTAACAATAAAATACTGAAAACTATGTTTTCAAACTTCCACAAAATTTATTTTAACTATTATCACCACAGCTGTTTCAGCTAATTGTCTTTCTCAAGTGATCTATTTTTGGCATGCGTTTACAATTTATAGTCTCTAATGAAATAGGTTGAGGAGGGGAGAACTGTTTGTCTCAAGTTAGTCATTCAGAATTATATCTGTTTTTTAATTTGTTGATTTCCATAGATTCTAACAAAGATAGCTTAAGGCCTTTATTTTGAATGTGAAGAATTTAAATTTGTCATTAAAAGAATGAAAAAGAATGAGAAGTGCGTATGTCGAATCTGTTTTTCTATTATTGAAAGCCCTTTTATGTTCTGCTATTCGTTTATTAAAGTTTCTACCAGTTTGACCGATGTAAGTTTTTGGGCAATCGCCACATTAGAGTTTGTACACACCACTATTTAAGTGTTTTTATTTTGGCTCTTGTTATTTTTAATATAATTGCCTAGGTTGTTATTTGTTCGGAAAGCTGGTGTTATTCCTTTCTTTTTTATGTGTTTGGCTATTTTTGTTGTTATTTTGCCTGTATATGTAATCGAGCAGAAGGTACTGGGTTTTTTCTCTGGTGGTGGAAATACTAATTTCAAGGCTTTCTTGTGTAGTTTTTGATTTAACATTTTGTGGAAGTTTAAAAATAAAGTTTTCAGTGTTTTATTGTTACATAAAATGAATTTCCATCAAGTAACGGTCGAATCCATCAATTAACTAAGTTATTGTTCACATCCGGTATAACGAAAAATGGCTTTAAGTTGAAGCCGCTAAATTTAATGTAGAGCCATGGAAGAACATTGTACTTAAAGCAGATCTTTCGCTAAGACTTCCTTCATTTGGATATAATTATTCCTTATTAGTTTTTTACTTTCTTTGTTAAAAAAAAAAGCTTAAAAAACAACTAAAAACTACATAACAAGAGTGTAATACAGGTCTAAGCCATTTTGATGCTGTAGCAATACATAGGGCAGAGGTATTTGTCTCAAAAGCAATTCGTAAGCAAGTTCATACAACGATAAATCTCATTTGGTGGCAAACCATATAAGGACATATTAAAATCACATACCTTTTGTACTGGGGATGCACCTGCAGAAGCATACTTGCTAATTGGTTGGGTATACGCAACTGCTTGTTGTTGAACGGCCTCGGGTTGGTAGTAGTGCTGTTGTTGTGGTTGAGCCGAGACGTATTGGGGTTGAGCAGGTTGGTGGGAGTACGCAGAGGCTTGATGGTATCCGGTGTTGGGATCCACTGCCAAACGTTTGTCTTTGACCTTTTCTGCTTGGGCCATGACGGCAAGGGTGACAATCGCTAACTGTAATTAATTTATAGGTAAAGACATGTTCTTAAAAAGGACTAAATATTTGTTGAAATTAAAAAAAAAAATAAAATGTAAGAGCTCTAGTGGTTTATAAAGGGTGTACCAAACTGCACGCAAAAATTGAATTTGCCTATTTGGGGTTTTCCAACAAAAGCCCAGTGTATAATTCCATACATAATTTTATTTATTAATGATTCGTAAAAAACGTAATCTAAAGAAAAGAACAGTATTTTCTATTCAATTTAAATATTGCGTGAATTTCATTACAGTTGTGTGATAAATATGTTAGTATTAAATTAGTAACTTATAATCCATGGTTGACAATTTTTGTTGTTGTTACAATGATAAATACTTGTAGTATTTTTAACTATCACCAAGGCGTTATAAAATCGATACGCAGGATCACAGTCAGATCACAAAATTCTTGACAACTTTTTTAACAACTTGTTGCCGTGATTCGTCTTTAATAAATACTTATCTAAAGATATGGATATTAAACAGTGCACAATAAAAAATGCCATAACAAATTGGGTATGCATCCCAATATCCTGTCAGTAAACCTTCTCAACAACTAGACAGTGACGAGATTGAAACAACATGATCCAAAGAATTTACCCAACATTTTCTCATGTCCTAGACAGTGCAGTTGCTACATATGTAATTGTATTTTTATTCAGGCCATTGATATTTATTTATGCTAGTACATATGTATTATTCTTTTAATAAAAGAGAGCATTTATTATGTTTTAACATGTTAATATTTAACAGTTTAACTCCGAAAAGAAAAACCATTTTAAGAAAGTCCTAAATCAAAAATTTTATATATAAAAGCTTGTAACAGGTCATTTCAGGCCTATAGCTTAGTAATTCTCTTCCACGTCCTTCTGTTTCTAGCTTCTTTCCTCCAATTTTCTATCTTTTTTTCTTGTAGATCTTTCACAACTGCTTCCCTTCATCTTCTCCTTGGCTTGCCTCTTTTCCTCTTATCTTTCGGTATTCTCCTTCTTATATGTTCTTTACCTCCCTACTGTCCTTCATTCTAACAAGATTCCCTAGCCACTGCAATCTTCTAGCTTTGTCCAAATCGCTTATTCCCTCTTTGCCGAACATTTTATAAATTTCAGCATTTGTTCTTTACTCCCATCCTATATCTGTTAACTGTCCTACCTCCAACAATTCTTTTTAATATTCTTCGTTCCCATATTTTAATTCTCTGTGGTAGTTGTTAACACCCATGTCACGCACCCATACGTTAGAGTAGGTCGTAGGATGGTTATAGCCTTATTTTTGTATTTCTGGATACCTCTTTCGATTTTATTATTCTTTGCAAACTGCCTGCACACCTGTTTTTCTTTTGCTATTCGGAGATCTATTTTCTTTTCTTCTTCGCATTTAGAAGAAATTTCCGTATTTAGTTTTCTGCTTTTCTGTTGCTTCTTCAGCTCCATGTATTTTGTTTTATTTACATTTATCTGTAATTCCATATTTCTTGCGACATCTAGAAGATTCTCAGCTATTTGTTTTAATTCGTTTCTACTCCTAGCCAAAAGTACATCATCAGCATAGGTTAGACACTGGTGACTCTTATTAAATGTTGTTTCCGCTCTATTTATATTGCTGTCTCTTATTATCCTTTCAAGGTCCAAATTAAACAGCGTGGTAGATAGAGGATTTTCTTGTCTTACACCTTTCTAAACTGCAAAGTATTTGTTCTTTTTTTCATTAATCTTAACCGTGTTTGTAGTGTTCTGAAGCGTCATATGTATCAGTATGATTATGTAAGATGAGATTTTAAACTTCTGTAGTGTTTTTATCTTTACCATCCATGCAGGGATGGTAAAATGCAGGGCAGAAGACCAAAGGGAAGACCACGTAATAGATGGGAGAACGAAGTCACAGTAGATGCGCACAACTTATTGAACGTCAGGGCTTGGAGACGAGTGGCGCGGGATCGCCTTTGTTGGAGGCAGAAGTTACAGGAGGCCAAGGCTCAATTTGGGCTGTAGCGCCATTGGAAGAAGAAGAAGAAGTGTTTTTATCTTACTACATTGTCATAAGCAACCTTAAAATTCACAAAAAGAGTCAAAAATTTCATCTACTATAAAAGTATCATTTAACATCTACTATAAAAATGTTCAACATGAAAAGCTTGTAGATATATTAAAAAGCAAAAATATTGACAGTCGTGATCTAAAAATTATATCTAATTTATATTGGAATCAAACTGCCAAGGTAAGAGTTGACAGCCAGCACACCGAAATTATCCAAATACAGAGAGGAGTCTGCCAGGGTTGCGTGCTGTCCCCACTACTTTTTAATGTCTACAGTGAAACGGTATTTCAAGAAGCGCTCTCAGACTCAATAGAAGGTATATCTATCAATGGAGAAGTTTTGAATACCTTACGTTTTGCAGATGATACAGTAATAATTACGGATAACAACAATGATTTACAGAACTTAATGCAACGCCTTAATGAACGCTGTCATGAGTACGGACTGAAGATAAATTTAAAGAAAACTAAATGCACGATCATGACTAAATCTGCACATGCAAATATCCAATTGGCAATTGAAGGTACTGCAATTGAGAGTGTTAATAACTATAAATACTGAGGAACATGGATAACATCAGATGTAGACCAAACCAAAGAAATTAAGACACGTATTGAAATAGCACGTACATCATTTATTAAACTTAAAAAGTTTCTTTGTTGTCGGGATATAAGGTTAGAACTACGCCTAAGAATGCTTCGATGTTACGTGTTCTATACTCTTCTTTATGGGCGAATATCATGGATTCAAAGAATGTCAAACATGAAAGTAACTAGAAGGATAGGAAATGAGGCGGAAATAATATTAACTATTAAAAGACGAAAACTTGAGTACTTGGGACATGTGATGAGAGGGCAAAAATACGCATTATTACAACTTATTATGCAGGGCAAAATCCGAGGAAAGCGAAATATGGGAAGACGAAGAATATCCTGGCTTAAGAACTTAAGAAAATGGTTTGAATGCAGTAGTGCAGAACTTTTTAGAGCGGCAGTCAACAGAGTCCGCATAGCCATGATGATTTCCAACCTTCGATAGAAGATGGAACTTAAAGAAGAAGAAGGTAAAACCAATGGAAGAGATCAACTATATAAAATACAACTTATCATTGAAAACTTTTAGCTACCTAACTTAAGTAGAAGAGACAAATTAATTGTTCTGAGGCAAAGAATTGGTCACACATAACTGGCTCATGGCTTCGGAGAAATTACCTAGCTGTGAAAATTGTAGTGAATCATTTACCGTTTAAGATTATCTTTACACAGGATATCAAATACGAGCAAGAACAAAAAATGTTCTATACAAGGTCTTAGGAATCTAATCCTCAGTAAATTAGAACTTCTTCAAAATGTACTAGATTTCCTTCGGGAAAAGAATGTGTAATACAAAATGGAATGTATTTTTTAATTTCCCTTTTTTTTTCTTTATTGTAAACCATAATGTATTGGAAAATGTATAGTAACAAAATCGACATAATGTCAATAATCTTGTAGTTAAGATACACTAAACTAACTAAAAAAAGAAAAAGTTTTGATGGTGACACGATTTGTATAAAGTGAGACCGTAACGATATTATCACTGTGGCCAGTAATTTGTGTAGAACTAAATTCTTTTTTAAAAGTCAGTGGCATTTAAAAAATAGAAAGAAAATATAACAGACCGATCCAATACTGCAATAGAACAAAGGAGTAGAAGCTGTTGATCGTCTTTATCGAATTTATATTGATATTGCATCCTAGAAATATAATTATTCCTAGACTATCTTATTTGAAATATCGAATACATTTTTTTCTGGCTTTGATAAAATACATCTATACTAACAGTGTTTGGAAATGTGGCCCCATTGCTCATTTTATTATAAAAACGTTAAAATAAAAAAATAAAAAAAGGATACAAATTTTAGTAATATCCATAATTGGACTTCGTTTAAACTTGTTAAAACTGAAAAATATTTTATCGCTGGCAAATAGTGAAAAAGGAAATAAGTGGACTTGTTACCTCCTTTACAGTATTTGAATTGACCAAACACTGCCTGGATGTCATGTTTCCAGTTAGTAAGAGTACATTTTGGTTTGGTTTGGTATCTTTTGTCCGTCCTTGTTTAAGATACTACTACTCTGGCAACCCTGTCCTCAATGACATGTGTATAGATTAATTCAACCTTGGTGGGAGTATGCTATGGACATGTGCTTGGTGCAATGGAAAGGTTACGTATTGTTGGAGGTTACTTTTGTGCTTAAGTCTTACTTCCTCAGATCGTCAATGATGTAATAAATGTAGACGAAAATCAACCCCAAGAAAAAGTTAAAATGAGAGGCTCAAAAGGTGACACTGGAGAAAAAAGAAAAAAAAAGTTTTCCCGAAATCAAGGATTAGCTTATTTTACGGGGCAAGGTATGAAAGTTGCTGGGCCGAATTTAGCTACCACTGCCCTCCTGCAAAAAAAAGTGCAGTGGGAAAATTTCACTTGACAATCAAAAAAATATTTTCACTGCCTATTGGAATTTAAAGACACGATACCGAAGGGCAGCCTATCTGTGCGGTCTCTTAAGTAAAGATGATAATCTGAACCAGGGTTAAAGAACGCGACAAAATATGCCTAAAAACCAGAAGAAAAGAACAGCTTTAGTTCATTACAATATTCTGATTGAGGGCCAAAGGATCGATGTTTGTAAGAGCTGTTTTCTCACAATATTTATTAGGAAAGTAAAATTTGTATGGACCATTGTCCAACAAAAAAGGCTTTCCATGCTTCAACAACTACCCCAGATGAACGAGGTAATCATATCCTTGGACATAAAATATCTACATACAGAATGGATTTGGTGCATTAGTACCTTACATCTCTTCCAGCATATGAGAGTTATTACTGTCGTAAATAGACTACTAAAAAATATTTGCCACCTCACTACACGCCGAAGGAAGTTTACAGTAAATATAAACAAGAAGTAGATGATCCAGTCAGTTTAACTCTTTATGGCAACGCCTTTAGTAACTCCGGAATAAAAATAAAAATCCTAAAAAGGGTACTTCCCATGCACGTGACGAAATTAAAATAAAATTTTCATACGCTCAAGCTATCGAGAAGGAATTGTTACTGGAAAGTAGGAAGAATCATCACATGAAAGTTTTATTAACTTATGCAATGAAGTTGGCAGACAAGCAGCAGAGTCAGAATAACCCAAACTTTACTTCAATTGCAGTTGATTTACAAGCGTGCTTGGGTTACTTCACTTTATGAACATTTAATGTGACCATGCACAACATGAAAACAGGAGTTGCTTAATGTTTTCTGTGGTATGAGAGTATGGCAAAAAGAGGAGGAAACAAGATTGCTTCTTGTGTGTTCCATGGACTCCACCAAATAGAAAAAAATATTTCACATGTCGTTTTGTACAGCGACTTATGCACAGGTTAAAAACCTGTTGAAAACAGAATTATCATTTACAAAAAAACAGGATTACCAACAACCACTGCCACTATCATTGGAAAAAAAAGAGATATTTTGTCAATATTTCTGTACCTCTCTCCCGTGTATCATATATTTTATCAAGATCTACCAGCCCAAGGTGTTTTGCTCGATCCTTTAATAAGTGACGAAGAGGACTAGCATTTTTTTATTTACCATTTTTTATAATAATACATACACGTTAGATATATCTTTTTTAATAATAAAGTTTTTGTAATAAATTTAATGTATTTTTGTGCCTTGAAGCTGCTAAAAAAAAAACAAATAGTACCTGAGTAAGTCTGTGGAATTGGTAACAAGCAAGGAAAATATTGTGCATTTTGTAACAAGTCAGGAAATTTGACTAAATTGAAAGTTCAGCTATAAAATTTTTTAAAGTTCAATAATAACCACTATTTTGTATCGTTTTCTAAAAAAAATATGAAAAAAATTATCCGAAAAAAAACCCAAGAATCGTTTTTTTCGTTTCCTCAAAACCAAGTAATTTGACATGTTACCTTTTGCACTGAGGCCGTCCATATACATATATATATATATATATATATATATATATATATATATATATATATATATATATATATAGTTATATAAGAAATTGCAAACTTTGAAAAATATTTTAAAAAACTGAAAAAAGACTACAGAGATATACTGCAGAAAAGAAGCAAATCGGAGTAAAAATATATGCTTGGTTTTGGTAGATATTGTTTTATCAGAAATCACTAACATATAAAATTTTCATTTCTGATTTTAATTATTTACAGACCTTTTATAAATTTTATTAAATATTATTATTATTACTGATATTTTATTAAGACTTACATGGAATGCTGCTTAACATTTTTATAAACTAACGGCAAAGTACTTACTTATTCTTTGATAATATTGTTTACATTGACTTCCACTTTTGCTTTATGTTTTATATAAATGTTTAGCTGGCATACCTTAGAATAATACGAGACCGAACTTATATCATCCATAGAAAACCACTTAACACAAACAGCTAAAACTAAACCACAAAATCACCAGAATAATAAATAAATCTACTCACGCAAATGAATCTCATGATGGTGTGTAAAAGTTACAGAGAAAGAATATGCAGAGTTGAGGGGATTCCTCGGGTTTTATATGCCAGCCGCTAGAAGTGATCTCCTTTCTCTCACCATCGCCTTTTTTTTGTATTAGCGCACTTCTGCTTAGTATGATGGACTAGACCGGACGTGATTTCGATCTTTGTTACAATTATATTACAATGGGAGTCTTGGATAATATCTTTTATGACAATATACTACATTGCTCGGAAAGTATTACCATGATGTGAAATCGCACAAATATTTTAATTATTTTGGATTAATAGTTTATCATATTATATCACAATTATACAAAAGGGTACAAAATGTTACTCATACGTAGTCATTGCGTTTACAGACTAGTCACATAATCAATAAAATATGAAATCAAATATATCGCTCAGAATCACAACTTATACAATAATTAAAATGATCTATTTATCTATCTAATTAGCCTTCTTCGATCCATCTTTGGACATATGCCTCCCCAATACTTTTCCATTCTTCTCTGTCTGTCGCTACAGTCATCCACCTAGAGCCCACGTGCTTCTTGATATCATCTGCCCATCTCATTTGGGGCCTTCCTCTGCTTCGTTTATATTCCTACGGTCTCCAACTTATAGGAATTTTGTTCCATCGGTCTTCTTTTTGCCTTATATTGTGTCCGGCAAATCTCCATTTCAATTTTGCAACTTCTTGTCTAACATCCCTCACTTTTGTTTTCTCTCTTATTCACTCGTTTCTCTTTTTATCCATTAGTCTTATGTGCAACATTTGTCTTTCCATTGCTCTTTGGATTTTTATGATTTTGTCCATGTTTGCTTTTGTAAATGTCCACGTTGGGGAACCATAAGTAAGAACAGGGAGTACGCATTGATTGTATACTTTGGTCTTAAGATGCTGTGGATATCTTTTGATTTTAAGAATGTAGCTTAGTTTGCCAAATGCCGCCCATGCCAGTCTAACTCACCTCTTTATCTCTGCTGTTTGGTCCTCTTTGTTTTATAGTTTTATAGTTTGACCAAGATTTTATATAATCCTGAACTTGTTCTATTTCATCTTGTCCGATTCTCATTGTGATGTCTTCATCTGTATTTGTTATCGTTTTCTTCTTCTTCTACGGCACTACAGCCCAAAATGAGCCTTGGCCTCCTTTATTTTTTGCCTCCACCCTTGTCTGTCTGTGGCTGCTCTTCTCCATACACGGACTCCTAAAAGTGCTTGTGCGTCGCTGCTTACTGTGTCTTCCCAGCGCTTTCTTGGCTTTCCAACTGGTCTCTTTCCCTGCATTCTGGCGTTCAGTGCTCGTTTTGGTAGCCTATCCTCTCCCATTCGTATCACATGTCCGGCCCATTGCAATCTTTGTATTCTAATGAAGTCTGACAAGGGTGTTTCCTTATACAGTTGATAGAGCTCGTTGTTATATCGAATTCTGAAGATTCCGTTTTCCCTCACAGGTCCTAGTATTCTCCTCAGTACTTTTCTTTCGAATGTGTCGAGTTTGTTTTTGGATGTTTCTTTCAGGACCCATGCTTCGCTGCCATAACATGATATTGGCCGAATTAAAGTTTTATAGATTCTCATCTTTGTATTTCGGTGGACACTTTTAGACCGAAGTATATGGGAGAGGGCAAAATAAGCTTTGTTTGCCTGCGTTATCCTTTTTCGTATTTCTCCATCCTCTGCTCCATCGGCATATATTTCTACTCCCAGGTATGTAAACTTTCCAACCGCTTCAATGTCATCTTCATGTATAATGTTTTGTGGGATTATATTTCTTCTCGTCTGTACCATTATTTTTGTTTTTTCTGTGTTAATTTCCAGACCTAGCCTTTTCGTTTGTGTTTTTAACTCTGCGTATGCTTCCTGTGCTCCTGTTGATGTTCTACTCATAATATTAATATCATCGGCGTAGGCAGCCAGTTGAACCGTTTTATTGGTCAGTAGGTTTTCTCGTCCAGTTTGCATTTGCCTAACCGCATACTCCAATGCCAGGTTAAACAATGTTGGTGCCAGCCCATCTCCCTGCTTTAGTCCCTGCGAGATTTTGAAAAAGTCTGTCCGGTTGTTTTGTATTCGTACACATGCCTGAGTTTCATCCATTGTGGCTTTAATGAGTCTAATTAGCTTATGTGGTATTGCTAATTCTGCCAATATATAGTATAGTCTGTCCCTTTTGAGTGAATCGTATGCCTGTTTGAAGTCTACAAACACGTAGTGAACATCAATGTCGTGTTCCCACGATTTGCTCAAGACCTGCTTGACTGTAAATATTTGATCCATTGTCGATCTTCCCCGTCTGAAGCCCGTCTGATATTCTCCAATAATATTTTCTGCTAGTGGTTGGAGTCGCTGGTTTATAATATACGTGAGGACTTTATACGCTGTACATAGTAGAGAGATTCCACGGTAGTTTTTGCATTGGAGTTTGTCTCCTTTTTTATAGATTGGGCATACTATACTTTTCTTCCATTCGTCGGGTATTTTCTCTTCTTGTCATATTTCTTTGATAAGCGCGTGGATATGACTTGATAGGTGGTTGCCACCTACCTTATACAGTTCTGCTGGAATCTCGTCAACTCCCGGGGCTTTATTGTTTTTCTGGGCCTTAATAGCTTCGAGAACTTCCTCTATGGTTGGAGCTTCTACTTCACCTTCGTTCTCTTCTACATGATTCGTATTCATTTCATCTTCCATATCTACTTGTGTTCCAAGTAGGGTCTGAAAATAATGCTTCCAGGTTTCTGTGACTTTCTGTTGGTCACTGATTATTTGCCCACTTTCATCTTTGCATGTTATCGTTTTGGTCTTGCTGTAATTCATATTAAGGCCTTTCTTTCCAGTTTCTACGTCCAGTTCTTTCATAATTTCCAATAATTCTTCTTTATTATCAGATATCAATACGATATTATCAGCGTACCTTAGATGGTTCAAGCGTTGTCCACAAATTTTTATACCTTTTTCTTCCCATTCTAATCTTTTAAAAGTATCTTCAAGAGCCTGATTGAAAAGTTTAGATAATATTGTATCACCCTGTCTCACGGTTCTATTTATTTGTATTAATTTTGTTCATTCATGTACTTTAATTGTTGTTTTGGCTTCCTTATATATATATATATATATATATATATATATATATATATATATATATATATATATATATTGGCTATTAGTTCCGTATATCTGTGTCAATTCTGCTGTTAATCAAAGAAATTTTCGCTGCCTAATGTTCGAGTCTGTCGAAAGCCTTTTCGAAATCTATAAACGCCATATATAGAGGAATGTGGTATTTATTTGCTCGTTCTATAAGTATTTTCATACTTATGAAATGGTCACTTGTGCTAAATCCCTTTCTAAAACCAGCTTGTTCTTTCGACTGGTATCCATCGAATTTTGTCGTCAATCTATTGGTTAAAATTTTTGTTAGGAGTTTATACAGTACATTGAGGAGTGTTATAGGACGGTAGTTTTTTATATCTGCTTTATCCCCTTTCTTGTGTAGGATAATGGTTACTGATTCCTTCTAGTTGTTTGGGATTCTTTTTTCTTTTAATATCTTATTAAAAAGGGGATGTAGAGTATTAATTACCACTTTTTCACCATATTTCAGCATCTCTGCAGTTATTCTATCTTTTCCACGCGATTTGTTGTTCGATTAAGATTAAGTGCTGATTAAAATGATCATTAAAACTTAATCCTAACCTACCTTAATCCGAACCTAACAAATTTTTACAGATGAATCTGCATTTGTTTCGCTGACTATTGATTATTTGTGCATAAGGAAAATCCTGTTCTGAAGCTATTTTCTTGTGGCACCTTAATGCAATTAGTAAATTTCTTGGGAACAAGTCACACTTTCGGTTTAAAATAAGTTTGTTGACGTTTTAATTTTCACTTCGGAAATGGTTGTCAAAATGCACATCATCAATGAACAAAACAAATTTTGTGTTTTTTTACTTCTTAAAAATACTCCTAATAATTTAATTTTATTTGATTTATTCCTATTGACAATTCAGATAAATGTTATACATTTTAAAGTAGACGACTTTAAAATGATATTGTAAATATTGTTGGGTTGTGTTTCTGGGACGACTTTATTTAAAGAAAAATCCATGTACATAAGAAATTTGCAACTCAGGAAATAACGACGAATGAATTCAGTATTTTTACTCGGGGGTTATCGAGTTGGCTCGATACGAATATGAGCATGATGATGATCCTCGACCTACCCGGTGTCCAAGATATACCTTTTCTCCTGGATTATGTTAATTGTATTATAAATCAATTGGCATTCATTACTCAGGGGTTTTTTAGATAAATGAACACGAATATGATAATATCGATGGTTTCCAAGTTTCCTGGTGCTATGGGGGACCTCGTCTTCTGGAATTTTATGTTATTTTTATTTGAAATCAGTCGAAAACCATTAAGTAGCTAAATATTATAACACTTGACTAATTTTGAATAAAATTAATATAAAACTTAAGACCACAAGGTCCACACTGGACTTTAGGGAGCTCAAGTATTATTGCTGTCATAATATTTATGTAAATTTACCTCAAAAACCCCCCAAGTAATGAATTTTGACTAATTTTGAATGAAAATAACAAAACTTACTCGAGGTTCATCGTCGTCATAATAGTCTTCGCCCAGGGACTTCGCAGCCCCTATATAATGACTTTCGACTGATTTTAAATAAAATAACATAAAACTAATGAAAAAAAGTCTACCCTGAACACCAGGTAGAACGAGGACTATTGTCCTTACCATATTTGTATTTAGCGACCTTAAAAACCCACGATTTATGACTGTCTACTAGTTTAGAATGAAATAGACATCCTTCAAGAGATATCCTGGGACATCCTGCGCACCAGGTAGCTTGATGACCCTAGTCGTTACTACTATGGTGTTAAGCGACTTTGAAAACTCCCGATTAATAAAATAAAACTTATTTCTGTTGATATTTTCTTAGTTGCAAATTTTTTATTTTCTATGACCTTTAGAAATACAT